ACTCATTTCTTACCTTATTCTCAGGTTCTGCCTCAGCTTGCTTGGCTGGATCGAGGGCCAACAATGTAGCCAGGCCATGCTTGCAAGCCCCTGTGGACGCTTACTTCCAAAGGTGCCAGCGGGCACTTGGCAGGCTTAGAAGACCTGAGACTCCAGTAAATTGGGGGTAGGGGGTCAATTGGAGGAGGTATTTCCTTTCTTTTCCCTCCAGAACCCCAGTGGCAGCCTCAGAGCGCCTTGAACACTCCAGGAAAGGAAGCAGGGACTCTGCAGAAGAGAGGAAGCTAGAGGGTAACTGTATCTAGTGGAGTGGGGAACTAAAACAAGACTTGGATTTCATACTGCTATGTAGGGAAGAAACAAATGTGTTTGATTAGAGAAAAAAAAGGGAAATCTCAATGCCTACAGTATTAGAAGGTTCTCATGAATAGCAGAAAAGTGAGAGGTTTGAGGAGGTAACATTATATATCAACTATTTAAAACTTTAATTTGGTTTTGTTCCCACGTCCATGACCACGTCAACTGACATTTCTAAGCATGCACGAACCAGCCTTCATGCTAACTCCTCCTACCTTTTCTGCTTTAGATTAGGCTCTGTCTAGCCCTGTGTGTGAAGTACTTGATCTTTCTGTTTTCTGTTTTACCATGGGTTACAGAACTAAGTTTCTGTATGAGACATGTTTATTGCACATTTAATAATCTGAAGATCATTCTACCAGTTTGCAAAAAGGAATACAAAGGAAGCCAAGTGATTCATCTTTCCTTATCCTTATAGTAAGCTGCATCATGTGCATTTACCAATATTTAACCATTTTAACCAACAGAAAATGTCTAGAGAAGCAATCTGTCCATTCTTCATTCTATTGTTGGCCTAAATCTTTAGAATATCTTAACATTTTCCATGGTCGCTGCAGCCCTCAGCTTTGGCCTGGAGCTATCCTTTAGGTTACCTGAGCTCCTGCCTTGTACTGTTAGCTACACAGATCCAGTTCTTCCCATTCAATTAGGACGAGACTCAGTGGAAGGCAGCAAGCAAAGTTACCAAATGTGTGAACCAGGGCTTTCTTTTCTGAGGGGTGTGGAGGATGTTACCTGAAGATCTTAAGATTATAGAAATATCTTCATTTGAGAAAAACAAGATAACCTGTTATTCCTGGCTCAAATGATAACATTCCAATTAGGAGAAATAATAATATATGTAATTTCTCACCTAGTTCAACCCCACAAAGCTAGTTCAGACCGAACAGTTAGACTATTGTTCTCTAAGATCACTTGAAGAAATCTATTTCAATGACTAGTTAACCATTAAAAACCAAAGTGAGGGTCCCCTTTCTGACCCGCCAAATGACCTAGGGTCATGGGCTGGGCAAACCACACCTGTGGGCATAGCAAGCTGTACACCATGTAGAAAAAGGTTTTACTTTATGTATAAGAGAGAGAGAAAAAAAAGGAAGGTGTTATTGGGAAAGCTGAGGTGGATGTGGGGTGGGGGAGACTGGTCTTACTGAAATCACAGGGAAAGGGCAGGGTAGAGTTAAAGGCTGCACAGAGAACAACAGAGAAACAGGTGTTGCTCTGAGCTGGCATTGTCATAAGAGAACAATAGTACAGATGTGTATATTATAGGTGAAGCTGTGTTTGATGTGTGTATATACACACGTGTCATAAACTAGGGAAGACAGGCTGTTATTAGGCTGTGGCAGGCATAAAGATGTTTGACACATCAGAACTCAAATGCCTCACTCAAAACATATGCTTTCCCATTTTCCTAATCATTCTCTGAAGTCATGTCTTACAAGACCTTGTCCTTGGCCAAGCAGACAGCGCATCCCCCAAATAGCTAATGTTTAGATAGCTGTGATCCTGAAATGGCCAAGCAAACATTCCAAGACTGCGCCATTTGTAATATCTTTGAATGCAAATATATTTTAGCCCTTTTCTTGGCAAAGATGTTTGCTAAAATTTCTAATACCAATCAGGGATTGGCAAAGAATGCTCTTCAGCCTTAAAAGAACACAACCATATTTCTTGGCCATCCGCTGGAAAGCAATAGACGCTCCAGGCAGCAAGTCTTTGGCAGGAGTCCGACAAACTACATCATGATCTCTGTACCCTGGGGCTGTGGATATCATTCAGTCTAGCCTAACTAGCCCACTAAGCTAGGAGACATTCAGTGTCCCCAATAAACTGTGGCTGGGGCAAAAGCAACATTTTGTTGTGCATGGATTCTTAATTCCACTTGCTTAAACAGATGCATTTAGTTGTGATCATCTAGGGTTAGTATAGAATCATGTTGCTCAGATTTGCTTGGTGATAAAAATTCCCTTGGTGGCCAGGGTTAGCCATGTGATCTTGTTCCAAGTGCTCTTGCACAGGGTTCTGTACTGAAAAGAATCCCATATTTAGGGTTCACTACTTTGCATTTATGTTCTGTAAGTGAAGTCTGATGAAGCAACAGAGCATGTGCTGGGGACTTGGAACCTTGAGGTACCGCAGTCTCTCTTCTCACCACCTCCCAGGACTGGTCTCCTGACCTCCCAATGCCCCCCACACACCCTAGTGTCTTAGCCACCCTTGGTTGTCCCTCCCCTCACCTGCACAATAACCACTGCCGACTCCCACCCCATAGTGCCCACAGATACCCCATCCTTGATTTTACCCACCTATTCTTGCAACTTCCTTCCCTTTTGAGGGCCAGGACCCAGGCCCAGAAAGTATTGAGGCTAGGTATACATGCTCTGTGCTATTTGAAAAGAGGCACGGTCACGTGAGACCTCTGGACCAGGAATACACTACACTACATTTGAAGGGTGAATGGTGAGGGCGAGCCTCTTGTCAGCCTCCCTTCCAGGTACTGAGCACATACTGACTTGGATGTTGCAATACCTTGGGAACCACCTCTCTGCCTTGATTGCTGCAGTAGGCCCATGGCAAGGGAAGATGGATTCATCCTCCCCTTCTGGGACCCAGCCACCTCTGGATAGCAACAGGGGTCATAACAGTGTGCGTGGTAGACTATAAGGTGCAGCCCCTGGGTGCCTAGGAGGGTCTGCCCTCTGCAAGAAAATGGCCCCATGCAAAGGGAGCACAACATTAAATACCAAGAGAGAGCAAAGAAGAAAGGGAAAAGTTTTGTATTTTAGTATCTTCCCACTGGCTTTGAATAAAAGGCCTCACATTTTCATTTCTCATTGATCCTCACAAAGTAATGTAGCCAGCATACAGTGAGCACTTTCATACATAAAGATTACCAAGCCTTGAGAATTCTGATTCAGTAGGTATATAACACTTTTCAAATTTAATTATGCATATGAATATTCTGGAGAGCTTCATTTTCCACAGCCCCAGCCACTAAATATTCTGATTAAGTCTGAATAAGCCCACAAATCTGCATGTTACAAACACCTCAAATGATCCTACTGCAATTGGTCTGCACATCACACTTGGTGAGGCACTGGATACCCAGAGGCACAAGTACTGGAGTCAGGCAGACTGGTTTTGCAATCTGTCTTCACCACTATGTTAAGATGTTATCTCTAAATCCTACTGGTAGTTTGCTCATCTATGAATAGATATATTAACATCACTCCATAAAGATGTTTGCAGTATTAGATGTATATAGGACACTACAATTGTTGTCCCAAAGTAAACACTCAGAAATGTTAAAAAGAAATAGGAAGATTGTTAAATCTAGGTGGTAGACACACTGGTGTTTATTATATTATTATGTGAGATTTTTCTGTGTTTTTGCAACTTTTCAAAATAAACAGTGACAGTTAGGCAGAGCAGGAGAGCCAGAGTTTGGAAAAGGAGGTCAGAGGCCTATAAAATTTGCCCCCCCTAGGTCTCCAAGTAAAAGGCTAGTGCTTTGGGGTCTAGGATAAGTAGGTGTTCAGTAAGTTGAATTCAGTATCAGAAGAATCTTCCAAGGAACGTGCTTCAAGGACCATCTCTGACCCACACTTAGAAGGATTGACCATGCCCTTTTCCTTTTTTTGAGTTTAGGCACAGGGCTACAGGTCCCTTGGTAAAAAAAAAAAAAAAAAAAAAAAAAACCATCAGTGTCGGCATAGACAATGTTTTCCCTGCAGGGGGTTACTGCATCCTGAGTCCATCCTCCAGTGTTCACATTTCTCAGCTTTCTTTCTGAAAATGTGGATCAAGAAAAGCCATTGCTTACATTAGAACTGAAATTCTCTAAGTAGACACTGAGGTGGTGAAAATATTCATTGTCCTTTGCAACAGATGAAAGAATGAATTGGCCTCTTATCTAATAATGGCCAGGCTCAACACAACACTCAAACACCTTTGTCCACTTGGCTCAAAAATCAAACACAGCTAAGGAGAGCTTTTAGTACAAAGGCAGCTTCCATACCCAGCCAGGGAGGGTTGGAATATGATTAAGGGGGAGTGTAAGGCCTGTGCATCCTCCTGCTTCTCCCTCTCTGGGCGACTATACACACAGCCCTCGTGGAGGCCTTAGGTCTGGTTTCATAGTATTCCAGTTTGGAAGGAGCTTGAAAAGATTGCTGGAAAAATAAGCAGTTGTTCTTGTTCTAATGACCTGTAACAAAGAGATTTCCTCACATAGGGACAGGAAACTCAATGATAACTACTCATTTTGAGAGGTTGCGTCAGTATGTTCCTAACATACCTGCCTGATCCCCATGAAGCCATTTGTGTCCCCGGAGAATCTGCCTCACCTGGGAAAGGAGTGCTAGGACCCCAAATCACCAAAGGAGCCATTCCTCGGATCTGCCTCTGCTAGGACCCCTCCATCTCTCGTTGAACATTCCCTGCAAGATGGTTACAGAAATGGCTTTTGGGTTTGTGCTCCAGAAACACTAATTCATCTGCAAAGCTGACACTTTCCAGAAATCTTCCATTTGTGCCAACATCTAGAAGCCAACTGTTTGCCCACTCCTGTAAATAACACATGCATTTATTTTATTCTGGATCCAATATATTATGCAGTAAGAGGCTTAATTTTCTTTCCACAGGTCCTTTTGAATGGTGACATTGAAGCATTCTGTGGAGGTTCCATAGTTAATGAAAAATGGGTCATAACTGCTGCCCACTGTATTCACCCTGGTATTAAAATTGAGGTTGTTGCAGGTAATGAAACAAAAAGGATAACAATCTGCACCATTTCTAGATCTTCTATATGACTGATGCATCATGTTTTATTAAGGTTTAATAGAAGTGTTGCTGATTAAGTTGGGCTAGTGGTACAGAGGTCATGATTTTAAAACCTAACTTCCTCCATCCTCCAAGCCCCATGATCTTTTTATGAATCCCTCATAAGCATTTATCTCAGTGGGTTACAATTGTTTATTGATGTATTAATATCCCTACCAACCACATAAGATTCATATCTTTGAGACTAGATTGCCAGTTGCCAGTGATACCACATAGACACAGGGGATATCGGTTTATGTGAAAAACCATGACTGAAATGAATTTATTCCCAACAGGTGAATATAACATTGAAAAGAAGGAAGATACAGAGCAAAGGCGAAATGTGATTCAAATCATTCCTCATCATAGTTACAATGCAAGCATTAATAAGTACAGCCACGACATTGCCCTTCTTGAGCTGGATAAACCATTAGCACTGAACAGCTATGTAACACCTATTTGCATTGCCAACAGGGAATACACAAACACCTTCCTCAGATATGGATCTAGCTATGTGAGTGGCTGGGGAAGAATATTCAACAAAGGGAGACCAGCTTCAATTCTTCAGTACCTTAGAGTTCCATTTGTTGACCGAGCCACGTGCCTTCGGTCCACGAAATTCACCATCTATAATAACATGTTCTGTGCTGGCTACCGTGATGGAGGTAAAGATTCATGTCAAGGAGACAGTGGGGGTCCCCATGTTACCGAAGTGGAAGGGACTAGTTTTCTAACTGGAATTATTAGTTGGGGTGAGGAATGTGCAATGAAAGGCAAATATGGAGTATATACCAAGGTATCTCGGTATGTCAACTGGATTAAGGAAAAAACAAAGCTCATTTAAATGAGAAATGCATTTCCACTGTTGATTCATCAGGACGGAAAATTAATTAGGGCCTTTACTAATTAATCACTTGCCCATCTCTTGTTAGGTTAGAATGTACACATTCTATAAATGTTGCTTTTTTCTCTTTACAAAGGAGAATTACATCTAGAATTTATATTTTACTAGAGTAAGTTGATTAGGAAATATAATGTAGTAAAAAAAATCATGACCATTTCTGTGAGCCTAGCCCTTGCCAAAATTGTGAAGTTAATTTCTCCACCCTGCCGGTCAGCTAGTATGGCTCTCCACCACAGTAACTCACCCGATTTTCCCTCCTTAGCAGCATTCCATGTTCCGAATCTTTCTTGTCTCTCCCACCAAAGCATCAGCATCCATTAGGCCTGTGTCCAGGATCTCTGCTCGAGAGTGACACAAGGCCAGCACTATACTACACTACATCATAAGGAAGAACACAGGAGCACTGATGGGCTAAAGCTCAGCAGCAGCGCTACTCCTTTTCCTCTACTCTTTTTCCCGATCCTTTGTCTTTTCCAACTACCAATCCCCAAGTCTGTTTTCCCCTTTCTCCCTCCCTCCCTCCCTTTCTTTCTCCATAGTCATTAAAGGAAGGAAGGAGTGCATTCTCCTGTTTCACTGCTGTACACGGGTATACATGTCCTTCAAACCCAGGCTGGATTTCACTTCAGTCTCAGGCTTACTTTTTAGAACACAGAGGATGAACCAAGGTGCCTGAACAACATGGGGAGGGGCAAGTTCCTTTCAGAGTTATTATATTTATCTATGAAATACATATGTATATATATTTCGATGAAATACATATATTTCAATTAGTCATCCAGAATAGCTCCCAGAGAGCTTGTAACTCCATTATATGGAGGCCTGACTAGGGCTGATTCCATGAAGGCAAAACTGGTGAGGTTAACATCGACTAGTGTACATTGCCCTCTGTCTGAACAAACAATGTTAGCAGAAAGAACAGTTTGCAACCTGGAACTGGTGAAGTCTTCAAGGAAAAATGGAACAGTGTGTCTCTAGCATGATGCAGGGCCAAGCAAGAAACTACCGAGACCAGAGACCAGAAGCATGTCATCACTTTGACTGGTATGCCCCTACCTTGGAGAACAGAGCAATCAGTCAACAACCACCCCCGTGCTGATTTCATACTCACCAAGGAACTTCTTGATTATGATTAATCTTATATAGGATTGTCTAGAAGGCTGCTGACCAACCAATGTGTCTTTCCATTTGTGCATTTAAAAACTGGTATTCTAGCTTATACCTGGGCTTTTTGTGAAATTACTTGATGTCAATCGGTGACCCTGTATTTGATGATGCCTGGGACTACTGACAAAACCATGTTTCAAATCACTTTACCCCCACCACACCTCCAGCTAGCCCTTACTCATGATTAAAGTTCTTCTAGTTAATACCTCTTTGCTTTAGTCTTCCAAACCTAAGTATCACTAAACACAGTTCAAAATTTCTCCAAGTGTCTCTTGTTTTATAATTCACAAAGTGTTCTATATACTACATTCAGCAAAACACTCAGAAGAATGTGTCCAAGTGCAGTAAGACTCAAGAGATTTGGAGATCTTTTATTACTTAGCTTTCACATGAGGCAGATATACTGTGTCTCAAGAGGACAGTGGTCTGGATCCCCCTGGGACAGAACTGAGTCTAACTAGCTGTGAGCATGGCCTTGAGTAAGCCACTCACTGTCTCTTGCGGGCTTTGATCTCTCCCCTTATGGAATGAAAGACTTTGACAGGCTGTTCTCCAAAGGCCTTTGTGACCTTCAGACCCTGTGAGTTCATTTATTTCATTACTTTATTCAACAAATATTCAAGGAGTGGCTACTGTGTGCCAAACACCAATAATGTTGATTGAATTTGAGCTAACTTGTATTTACAGTATTTAGGAAGTTGAAAAAAATAATGTATGCAAATTGCTTTGCCAGTGCCTACTACATTACTGTGCAGTAGTTGCTCTATAGAGTTAGGTGAATTTGAATCCATGTTTATAACAATATCCCCAGATGTTTGTGTTGTTTTGTTCTGTTTTAGAGATAAGGTCTTACTAAACCACCAACTTGCTCAGGCCAGACTCAAACTTGTGATCCTCCTGCCTTAGTCACCCAGAGTGTTTCTATTACAGCCATGCACCACCACACCCAGCAACTACTCTTGTACTGAGTATCATGAATGGCACCCATACTTAAATAAAGAATAATGCCTGAGATTTAGGCTTCAAGAAAAAAATGAAAGACATCAGTTCTGCAATTGTTGGCTAAAAAAGAGACTCTATTCTTGTCAACCTTATGTTTAGGAGGGTACTATTCATTCTGAATCATTTTATTTCAACTTTGAATGACTAAAGGTCTTTAGCCTCAGTGCTCTGCAGCTGCTGGCCTTGTTGCCATGGAGACCACCCCTTACAAAGGCAGTGGTAGGAACTGGCCTCTTACCTCTTGTGATTGGCCTTCCTTTTGGCAGAGTGTGGGGCTCCTGGGCCCATTGATCTCTGAGCCACAGTTATCCATTCTCCCATGAGCTCAAAAATGACTGAGTTCATCACACCCCACTTATGGCATGTTGCTACCACTAAACATGTGGGGCCTTTAAGCCCACCTAAGAGCCAGCAGTCTCAGAGCCAGGGCCTAGCTGGCTTCTGCCTGGGGCATTTGCATTCGCTATATAAGAATCATTAGTGCTTTCAAAATTGCTGTAGCTACTTAACCTAAATGGGCTGAAACATGCTGCTATAATATTGCAATTGACAGATTAAAACAGAACTCTTGCTGAGTGAAGAAAAGTATGTTAATAGAATGTAGTCATTCCACCTTTCTGTTTAAGTGTGATTGTTTTCAGTCCTGTTGAATATTAGTTGCTTTACAGTAGCAGAAACGAAGTACAATCCAATTTTTCTCTGCTGAGGGAAAAAAAGGGGGTTGTTCTCCCCTATTCTCCTGAATCATGCCATACTCATTTACAAAATTGCTTAATTATAATTCTAAAGAACTTCTGAATGTTTGCAGTCCAATATAAGAATGTGAAAGATGCGAAGTCCATAACCCCATGTGATTTACTCTACTCCTACAGATAAGGAGATCGAGGCCAAATGAGGCCAGGTAGAACAATGCCTGAACCAGGAATAGATCTCCCACCCTCCACTATGAAAGCAGTGTTTTCAACTCAGTACTCTACTGACTGCATTTTTAGGGCAGTGGGGGCTTTCTGCACTGATAGGAAGCCAGCAAACGCAAGACTGGAATCTGCCTGGAATTCCTACAAGTGACTGCAGCCCTGGCTCATAGCAGATACTTAGTGCTTGGCGTTTAGCCCAGCTGTGAGCACTGGGCCTTCCAGATGAGACTTTGAGAGCATGGTCATGTGTCATCTGGCACACAAACATTCTGGCAAGCTTTTCAAGTTTATTCTTTCCAACCTGCTAGGAAAGGCATGTGCAGCATAGCGAGATGCCAGGCTACTCCAGAAGCTGTTGGTGGAGGCTTGAAGGAAAGCTCCAAAGGCCTACGGGAGCTAGGAGTTGAACAACGGGCTATAACCGTGCACAACTGGAGGACAGACTCCAGCTGCTGACAAGCCTGAGTGAATCAGTCAGGAATTAGGGCTTTTTTTGAATGTGAGGCTTACACAGTGTAGAGGTTTCAGGGTTACAGCCACAAACATCTATGTGTTCTGCAAATTATGGAGGCTGTTGAAGGAGTTGCAGCAGGGAATGGACTGAGGAAACCCACTCTTCTTTTTTTTGGGTACCGGGGATTGAACTCGGGACCTTGCGCTTGCGAGGCTTGCAGCAGAACCACTGAGCTAAATCCCCAGCCTCCAGAAATTGCTACTTATTTTATCACTTTTTTTTTTTGGTACTGGGGATCGAACTCGGGACCTTGAGCTTGCAAGATAGGCTCCAGAACCACTGAGCGAAATCCCCACCCATGGAATCAAGATGAACCTATAATACCTCACCACCACCGTTTTACTGACCTTTTGCTTTTTTTGTTTTGGAGGGGTTTTGGGGGGTGGTTTTTGGGTACCGGGGATCGAACTTGGGTCCTTGCGCAAGCGAGGCAGGCGGCGGAACCACTGAGCTAAATCCCCAGCCCCCCACTCTTCTTAACAAATCCAGGTCCACAGATCTCTTTCCTCCTTTTCTCTTATCGTGATTACAAGGCAGATCTTTGTCATCTTATCCTTAGAGCTATGGACTGCATTGAGATTTCTGATTTTATCTCAACCTCTGATTAGGGCAAAGACATCCAAATGGAAGAACTGCAAGAACTCTTTCATATATCCATGCAAATATATACGCAAAGGCCTCTGAAACAGGCCCAAGACATTTTTTCCACATCCTCATAGAGTATGATGGAGCTATTTTGAACTCTTAGCTGGGTAATTTCACTCTCGAAAGAGAGCTCTCCTCCTTTGGGGTAAAAGAAGGCTGAAGATAGCAACAGGGATATTCCTGATTCCAAGGACTTCCATTCAAAGAGTTGCTTCATTGCAATTTTAAATATGAGATCCTGATCTATAAAAAGATAATGACATAGTAAATCTCCCCTATGCTGTCAGTTTTAAAATTTTAGAGTGGTTGCTATATAGAACTCTAAATCAATACCTGTGACATGTAGCTACATGCTGACCTCATAAAGATAAAGGGTTCCCATTAATTTACATATTACATTTTTTACTGAATATCTCTATACAAAAGCCTATTTTCCTCTTAGGTTATAATACAGAAATAAGCATGCATTTTTATGAGATTAAAACTAATTTCTAAAAGTAAAAAGGCAAATTAAGAATGCAACAACTCAGAAATTTGGTGCATGCTGTTAGATGAATGAACCGATATATGAATGAAATGGAAGGAAAAAGTTATTACTAACCACATTACTATGCAAAACTCCCAATCACCTAAGGCAGGGAGAAGATATTTAGCTTGAACACATAAGGGATTGTGCCATAGAAAGAGAAACGCAGAAAGACAGGCCTCTTAAATTCACTTCACACCTAGGATATAAGAATACACTACATTAATTTGTGGGAAATGTGAAGCAGATTAGCCTAGAAGACTATGGTGACAACTCTGGCCTTTTCATATCCTATTATCATGTTTTGCTTTTGCGTTGTGATCTCTAAAAACCCGTATTTACCTCTCTTGTCTGTGTTTTCTATCTTCATTAGGTAGCTACTTGTTGCTGTTGTTGTATCTTATTTTTATGGATTCAACTCTCAGCTCTTAGATTTCATTCTTCCTAGAATTATTACCCAGTCAAATGATCTTGTAATGAAGTTTAATATTTCAAATTGTTGTTCTTGGCCATAGAGATTTAATTTCCCAATGTGAGTCTGATATTTTTTATTGTCCATGCTGTCTCCCATAACTCTGTTTTCAGCCCTAGATGATTATACTTAAGATTAGAATCTCTGTGAGGCATATTGACCCATGCCAGTAACCCTAGCACTCAGGAGACTGAGGCAGGAGGATTGCGTGTTTGAGACCAGCCTGGACTACACAGTGAAACCTGTCTCAAAAAAACACAAATAACCAAAAAATTAAAATATTTGCATCCTCATTTTATAAAATATAAATTTGAGAAACAGATAGCTAAAAGTACAACTGCATATTATCTAAGGTTAGGGTTGGTTGCTATAATTCATAAATCTTAGACTACTCTAATAAAGAATTTACTGAACACTTACTATGGACCTAGCACTGGATGCATTTCATGAGATACAGTCAATGTTATGCTACAACTGGCACGTTCCAAATTACAAAAATCAATGTTAAAAGAAAAACTTGACACAAACAAATGTAACTGAGCTTATTTGGGCAAAGAATGTTTCCTGATTTGGGCAGTCACCAGAACCAGAAGGCTTTGAGAGCTCCAGCAGCATGGGCAGTGAACTTTTGTAGGCTGGCACATAAGGAAGACAGCAAAATCGCATTTCACTGTTGAGAGAGCAAAGACCCTGTGTCTTAGTCACTTCCTCGTCACTGGGACACAATAGCTGATGCCCAGAACTGAAAGGATGAGAGTTTTATTTTGCCTCATGGTTACAGTCCATGGTCAGCTGGTTCCAGAGCAAAACAGCATGGCAGAGGGGCCTGCGCAGAGGAAAGCTACTCACATCATGGTGACCCAGAAGCAGAGAGAGAAGGGAGGAGCCTGGGAGGGAGATGCATCCTTCCGGGTCATGCCCTCAGTGACCTGTCTCCTCGGACCAGACCTCACCCAACAGAAACTCATCTTTAGCAACCCCATAATTCAGTCACCTTCCAAAAGCCCCACCTATGTGCTCATGAGGCTCTTGGGGACAACTAGATATAAACCATGCCACCCTAGTTAGATGTTAATGGATGACCCTGATTGGCAAAGTGCCTACTTTCATTTTACTGTTTATGTTGGACTTTAGTTTGCTTAGGAAGGAATTTAAAGAGCTAGAGAACCCTGGTGTAGGGAGCTCCCAATAAAATTTTCTTTTTGTACTGGGAATTGAACTTGGGTCCTTGCGCTTGCAAGGCAGACGGCAGACCCACTGAGCTAAATCCCCAGCCCTACCAATAAATTTTTACATCTCTTCCCAACTTTCAGTTCAGAAGCTTCATGGTAATAGTTTAATCCCAACGGTAGGCATATTTACACCACAGAAATCAGGAAACCCAGCAAATAAAGATTTTTAATGATACTATGTTGTTTAAATATTTATCAACACACCATTGGACACAATATAATTATTTGACTAAAAATTCATCACTTTTGCAGTTTAGCTACTCAATTATTGCTATGAAAGAGCACCAAATGTACAAGGTAAATTAAAATATAAAGGTTTAAAAAGCAGAATGTTCATGAAGTAGAGTTATTGAGATAGCAGAGTTTTAAAGATGCACTCAGGAACAGATAATAAAAAAAAATAACATTTTAAATGCAAATATTTCTCCTGCATAACTCATCGACCATTGTAAGTCTGCAAAGATTTGTTTTATGGTAATTTCCTGCTGTGCCAGTATGTTAGTTCATAATGACTTGTAGGTACTTATAAAAACTATAGAAAAGTTTTTGACTTTCATTTTCAGGGAGCTTGTAAAATAACTTTAAAAAAATAAGATCCCACAGGGATGTATGGAAGGTAAGTTTGATGCAGCTTCACTACATCTCAATCACCAGGAGACATTTTATTCCACTTTTCCACTGCTTCTCTCTGTCTCTCTGTCTCTCTGTCTCTCTGTCTCTCTCTCT